AATATATATATACAGTGTAAAACAATTGACAATCCATTCAATCTCTAGTGGTGGAATTCTGAATTGATTCTGATTCAGTTCATGCTATAACATAACATATGATATATATAAAAGTATAACATAATAAATACATGAAACATTTTCGTATTTTTTTGAAATTTTTTTAAATATATGCATTAATTGCTTCTATATAACGTTTTCAAATAAGATCAAATTAGATATGATAAAAAATATTAATTCCTCAAATAATTTTATTAATATGTACAATAATTTCATTGATATCCATTATAATAAATTATAAGTTTAATTTTTTTTGATTTATGTTGTTAATATATTGGTCAAGATATTAGTTTTCATTTGGTTTGAATAAATTATACATCTCAGTTTCAATAAATTTAAAATTTAAAAATTCAACAAATAATATATTATATAATATTCACTTTTTATCCAACAATATTATAGAAATCAAAGTTGTTTAGTTAGTATACAAAATTAAATTACAAAAATACATGTGTATATATTTTGTAGAATATTTATACACCATTTAATTTCACATCATTTACATAGTTTAAATTGATTGCATTAATAAATAGTACTAACATGCATTACATATTTTTCATTACATAAAATAAAAAGAAAAAGAAGACATACAAATTCTGTAACTTTTGTAAATAATAATGACATTATATAACAACAAAACTAATAATAAAATAATAATTATGTATTATACGTTGTACAAGAATAAGTAAAATTGTTAATATCTCTTATATCAAATAATAAATACATATACTAATATTAAATTTATATTAGTATAAATGTGTTAGTGAGATAATATATTAATTATTTTACAAGCTAGACCTAACATGCTCATATTTAATGTTCTGGCTAAAAAATAACAATGATGATTAAAAGAAGTGAAAAATAGATCATAACACATTATTGTTTCTTAGACTTAATAGTGACTAAGAGGTGAAAAATAGATGATAACCCTATTGCGTTTTAGACTTAAAAAGTTAAAGTCTGTGAATAATAACCAATTTAATATATTTGTCATGTGCATCGCACGAGTATGTACTAGTTTGTAAGTGAAAGCTTTTTTTCTTTTTAATTTAGAAATGAAGCTTGGACCAAATTCGAACACAATTTTTTTGTTAAGTCTATCAGATAATGTTCCTCTATCCACGGTAGGCACATCTTAATATGTCCACCGCTTATGTAACATTCAAATATTGGTGATGTTAATATGTTCAAAAAAATACACCATCAATGTATATATGCCACATAAACGGTAGGCATATTAACATCTGTCCACCGTAGTTAGGTGAGCATTACTCTAAGTCCATTAACTTTGTGACTTGTAATAAATTAGCTAGTTTATTTATATTATTTATTTAAATGTGATAAAAAGTTGAAGTGTGACATTCCAAAGTAAACCACACTTTTGTCGTTAGTAGCACGTCACCAAGCAATAATTAGAGCAGTTTCTAATTTAAAATTTGCCACCATAATGAACAATTAAGCCCACTGATGACCTGCTAATATGAAAATATAGTTAATCTCATAGCAATTTGGTTAGTGGCAACTACAAATTACCAGGTTTTATTAAATGCCTTTCGTTCTTGATTTTATCCCATG